TTTTTTATATGTCCGTTGGCTTTTACAGATTTTTAAAAATTACTTTATAGTTAAAAAAGCTGATTCAATTAAAATTCGAAAATACTGTCAGAAAGATATTATGCAAACTAAATTTAAAATCTGAAGAAAGCCAAAAACAACTAAGTATCTTAAATTGTTTTTAAAACAAATTGGTAAAATCATAATTTTTATAAAATAAAATACTTTACAAACAAAAGCGAAGGAAATTTTCAACATGAGACATTTTTGAAAATATGTAGTGATAAATTAATTAGTTTTGTGTGCGTGTGTGTTGATGCACCTGTGAATTCCTGCCTAATTAGTGTTTGTTGTGTATCACAATGACAAGAAGAATAAATAATGTTGAAGCTTCAATTTGACTTTAAAATTTGAATTTTCAATTTATGAAACAGACTGGGTGCTAACACTGTCCTGTTTTTTTTTTTACCTTGATTTGAATAAATGAACAACATCCATAAAGAAAGGAAAGGTGTTTTTTTCCCTCTACATTTAAATATTTTTTTTTTTAACCTGATATTAATTAATTTTTTTCAAATACAAAAATAAATTAGTAATTCAATGAAGGCTGCAATTTTAACACTTCATTGCACTGCAAAAAAAAAGTAATTTAGCTATTTTTACTGAATTTGCTTCTTCTTGTCTATTCGGTGCCAACAAAAACAAAATGAATGCGTTATTTAATTCCAAAATGAAAGCGAAAAAATGCAACCCCGTTTTAAATTGTTTGTTAGAATCGAATAATTCTTTGATTTTTAACAAAATTTTCAGTACTTATTCATTAATAAATGAATTGTATACTGAATAGATTATTAGAAAACTTTATGGCAATATTCCGTTTGATATCTCGTACTTTTTAATTTGGGGAATGCTCTGACAGAAAAATCCCTGAAGATGTTTATTTCAGTAAAAATTTTTAAAAAAATTGTGCAATATCAAGTGTAAAACATACGGAAAAAAATGATTTCAAACTTTACCAAAAACAATTCAATAAAAAAAAAAACTTGGATAATTTACAAGTTTTTAAATTAAAGCACTTTTTCTTTCAAATTCGATAGAAAAAAATACACTTAAAAATTAAATAACTTTTTTTTTTAATCATTGTAATTTTTCAGTGCAATTTTGAAATATAAAAATTCACCCCATTGCTGTTTGTAACAAGTTTTTTTTTTTTAGTTTGAAGAATAGAAAAAATATAAAGTTTAATGCCACTTTTCGAGTGTGAATCTTTTTGTTTTGCTTTTTTCTTTTAATATTGATTTTTTTTTTTTTCCCCTTTTAGCAACTATTAGATTATTTTTTGTACGGATGTTCAAGAAGGAAATAATTCTGAATTACTGCATTTGATTGAGTACCTTTTCCTGTCGGAAGAGTAATGTTATAATTCAATAACTTAAATTAAGAATAATTTTAAAAAACAAAAAAACATTATATATTATTCTATGACATGAAATGGGTAAGAAAATAATTAAAAAAAAATAAAAGCAATTATTGAACTCAAAAAAGTATTAAACGTAGTAAAATTTAAGATAAAATTATTAATTCTAAGTTTCATAAAATCATATAGAGTAACAAAAACATTCTGAAACTTGGTTATATGGTTAGAATTTATTTTTAAGCATAAAATACCACTTTCCTGATTATTGCATTGCGGGTGTTCAATATTTCTTTTAATTTTTTCGCGCGCTTTTTAAGGGAGGGATGGAAATTGTTGTTTAACCTCTGACCTCACTGGCCCCCGTACCTATTTTTAAGCAAAAAGGAAGCATTACTGACTTCGAAACGCATTTCTAGTACAATAATGGATTTTAAGAAATTTTTTTAATTTGTTGTTTATTCAATGACAGTTTTGTTGAGTGAATGTCACGTAGGGACCTCCACTTTTTTTCGGCAAAATTTTCGATACCTAACTTTAAAATAAATTTTAAAAAATGAAAAAACATGCTTTAAGATTTCATTTTAGCTTTAATTGAAAGTTTAATCATTAAATTTATTATTTCCATTAAGTAAACAATTCTGGTGTATTTCAGATAGAAACTATATACATTGGAATATCAAATTTAATTTTGGAATTTTAAATTTTCTTAAAAATCCCGCCATTTTCTTAATTTTAAGAAATTTGTAGACAAACACAAATTTATCGATTTTAAAAATATTTAACAAAGTTTCTGACACGTTATTTTATTAAAATTAGAAAATTTAATGTTAAATTAATCTGATTTAAAAGAATTATTACTTCTAGCATAAAAAAGTAGTATACAACCAATTATTAACGATTGGTACTGGTGTTTTTATCCAATATTTGATCTACGTGTTGAGTGACGACAGCTACTACGGATGACCACAAATGAAAATTATTAGAAATCTGAGTGAACGCTTTTAGTTTTATTAGAATAAAGGGACAAAACTCTATTTATAATAATGGCAATAAAATTAGATAATTCTTTAAACTTTTTTTTTATTATTTAGATAATTCTTTAAACTTTTTTTTTATTATTTAGATAATTCTTTAAACTTTTTTTTATTATTTAGATAATTCTTTAAACTTTTTTTTTTATTATTTAGATAATTCTTTAAACTTTTTTTTTTTATTATTTAGATTCTTTAAACTTTTTTTTTTATTATTTAGATAATTCTTTAAACTTTTTTTTTTTATTATTTAGATAATTCTTTAAACTTTTTTTTATTAATTTCTGCAAACACGTTAACGATGTGTATCTGAACTGGACAGAGGAGAGAAATAACTGCGGTGCCAGACGACACAAATCACGTGACCTTTTTAAGGATTATGTCGCGTTTACATTTCCATACATAGAAATTATGAACGTTTTTCAATAAAAATTTATTTTTAAAATTATTTTAAAAATATTTTTGTGTAAACGACTGTTATGTGCTTTTCAAAGTTCGATTTGTAAATTTACATTTTCAGTAACGTTATCATTGCATTATTTGGGCGAAAGAAATAAAGAATTTTAAAAGATTTTTGAAGTATTTAAGACGTTAATGAAAAAATTTTTAAAATGTGGAAAAAATTTGCAAAAAATACATTATTTATCGAAAAAATTTTATTTCTTCACAAAATAATGTCCTTAGTATAACGTATCTACAAAAACAGGTGTAAGCTTTTCTAATTAATTAAATGTCATACTTTTTTACATTTTTTTTTTTTTTTTTTTTTTTACAATTCAAATTTGATTTTCTATAAAAAACTAAATGTTTTACAAAAAAAACTGGTGATTTACTTTCTACAAACATTCCTGTTTATAACTAATAAAAAAAAAATCCCGGGGTGCGTATTTAATTTCTTGAAATTTCTTGAAAATATGTAAGTGGGTGGAAACATGTTAAAAAAAATCTCTTTTTTAACAAGATTTTCTGAAAAAAAAATTTCAAAATAATTTCATTCATTTCTGAATAAGTCCTGAAAATTTCATTAAAATCCAACAATTATTTGATTTTTGCAAGAATTTCCTAATTAACGTGTGTTTTCCGCGGGAAAAGCGCAAAATAAAACAAACCTTTTTTTTAGTTTTTTCGCGCTGTCGTAAAAAAAACATAATTTTAAGCAAAATTTTCTACGTGCTAGAAAGGAGTAAAAAATTTCAAAAAATATTTAAAAAATACTTTGGTCTTTTCTCTTCATAACAACATAAACATAACATAAACAAAACTTTGTTTTCGTTGATTTATGAGTCATTTTTAATCGTGATATGCCGATTTTTTACGTGACCTAATGGACATAGTGAATGTGTTTTTTTTTTTTTTTTTTTTTTTTTTTTAAATGCTAAAGCCTAAAAACTTTATGTACGGAAATTAATTTTTTTTCTTTTAATGCGATTTCAAGGCTATTAAAACCACAATTTTAACTATTCTTTAAGTTCAAAGAAGGCATTTTTAAATTATTTTTAACATGCGTTTTTCGACTTTATCCTAAAAAAAACGATGACGTTAGGGGTTTTTACAGCACTGTTGTACACAATTTAAAAATAAATACTTGAATAACCTTGTCTTGTGTAGTAAGTAATCAAAAGAAAAAATAATTCGCTGAAAAATAGTTAAACTACAATTATGATGTCCTGTAGGAAAATGAGAAAATTTATTGTGATTTTTGTGAGAAAGAACTGATCTTTTTGTTTGTAAATAAATCCTATTTATTTTTGTACATCCAAAAACGAAAATTGGTAATAATAGTTTTCTTTTGTTGCTTTTTAAAATTTGTCACTTTCGTTAAATGTGAAAATTCGGGCTTTGAAACGAATTAAAAAATACAAAAACAAAAAAGAATCCGATTCCTTGTCCAAATCTGGAGGGAGGTGTAGGGAAAAGAAAAACAAAATGACAAAAAAAATTAAATCGTTAGTGAAAATGAAACTTTTTTTCTTTTATTTATCACATTTATTTCGATTATTAGTGTTTTTGTTTTTTTTTTTATTTGTTTTTTGTTCACTTTTGAATACAACCAGCTTTTTTTCTTCTTTTTTAGCCTATTTCCCCACTGAATTGTTGTTTTCTTCTTCTCTTTGCCTACACAATTAACAATAAGCCAAGTACAAGTGGTTGTTGTTGATTATTATTATTAGGTCAATGTAGTCATATGAGTGAATGAATTTATGTCGCAAATAATTCAGCAGGCCAAACGATTTGGGTTGTTTTTTTTTTTCTTCTTTTCTTTGGGTTGTCTTTTTCATCGCCGCCAAACCGTACGAAAAAAGGAGGGGGAGTCACTTTGAAAAAGAAAACAGTAAACAGAAATTCAATTTTTCTCCTTTGTTTTTATTTTTAATTTTAATTAAAAAGTTAAAAAAAAAAAAAAATAGGAGTGGCTGAAAATCTGGTCAGTCTGCTTGAAAAAAGGAAGTTCATTCCAAACTTCAATGTCTCGTTTCAGGAATAAAAATAGTTTTTGGTTTTTTTGTTTGTTTTTATCAGAAGACACTTTTAGTTTTTGTTACTTTGAGTTTGAACTATAAAGAACTTTTAAAATGAGGTAAGTTTTTCATGTATATATATATATATATATATTTTTTTTAGATATTATTTTATTTTCAACTCTCACTTAACTTTTCCTACTGATCGTTTAAAAAATAATTTCTTTTGAAAAAATAATCTGATACCAGAAAACGTTATTTTTCTTTTCTTTTTTTTTTACACAATTGATAAATAATAAATGTTTTTCATACTTTTTTGATGCTGTTTTTTTTTAATAAGTAATTAATGTCCACGATAAAGTGGAATTTAATGAGTGCTAAACATTTTAAAATTGTTGTTAAAATTAAATTAAAACTATAAAACTAAGTAACAATTGTATGCTTTACTTGGCCATGAAACAAAAAAGTTCCTTAACTAATGTCTTTAAATGAGTTTTTTTTTATCGTAACAAATGACAAGAAGAGATGTTTATTCCCAATTTAAAAAATAGTTATTTTTTAAGTAACAGGATTGTTACAAAAAAAAAAGCAACTTATGTAATTTTGTAAACTAAACATGTCTTTTATTCTTAACTTAGATCAATCTATAGTTCGGCAAATTGTGATGTCTTTTTAAGCTCTTTTGATGAAAAAACAAATTTGTTTTCCAAAACAGACACAATAAAAAAAAATTCCATCATTTTTTATGTTCAGCATTTTAAAATCTCTTTCTTAAATCATAAATGAATAAAAAAAAAATTTTTATTAAACCTTTTTAAACGCCTTTTACATTTATTTTTTACAATAACAAATAATTTCCTTTTTTTTCTTTCTTTTTTTTAATAAGCTCTGAAATTGCTTTTCTTAAAATATTTTTGTCTTCTGTTCCTTTTCAGACAAATTCTGTTTTCCTTTTTGAAAATCTGAAATTGTTGATATCCCAAAAAATGATATTTCTCTACTAACATCCTGTTTCTAATTTTCATGTGATGACTGATGCTCATTACAAACAAATTAATTTTTGTTTTTCCTTTTTATTTATATTATTTATTTTTTTTATCATTTCTTATGAATAATCAATTTTAAATCCCATTCTAAAATTGTCACGTTTTTTAATTTTTTAAAGGGAATTCCCTCCCTTGGTCCATGTAAATTACGATTTATAAAGCGAGACAATACTTTGCCTAGTGTTTTCTGAGTTAAATAGTAGTCTTCTTTATGTTCATAAATATTTGTAAAATAAGTCTGTATGAGATAGCTATTTTCTTTTTAGTTAAAGTACAATGTAACTCTCTACTGGCAAATTTCTAAATGGATTGTGTATTAGAATTTATTCACTGTATTCTTTTTATCCAAATCAGATAGTGACACCTGACACACAAATCCCCACTTAAAACCTGATCAATGTACTTTTTTGTTTTGTTTTATTTTCAGTGTGACATTTAAGTCTAAAACACAAATTTGTCACATGAAACTGACTTTCACACAAGGCTCTTTTCATGAAGGTGGATTTGTGAATTCCAAGCACTAATTACAATTTTATAAATGTGATGTACTAAGTGAATAGGGTTACTTATTCAATTGTTCTTTATATTTATAAATTGAATGATATCAATAAATATTTTTTACCAACAATTTCAAAATGATTTGTGTTCAACAAATATGGATTATAGACATTTTAAGATGATTTCTTAATAGAAATTGTTTCTACTTATTTATTTTTCCCAATCTATATAAATTATTTATGAGGTTTTTAATGTTTTTTTGCTTAATTTTTGGAAAACATTGCTTTCATTTTATATCCATAAAAAATTGGGGAAAATAATTAAGAAAGGCTAACTAATCTAAGGTTGTGAGATAAGAGTAAATCTTGTCTGGTTCATGAAACGAAAGGTTATAATTTTTTTTACTTTTCTAACTTGATGCTGTCACAAAATTTTCTGGGTTTGTTTTTGTTTTTTTTTGTTTTGTTTTGTTTTTGTTTGTTTTTTTTGTATCATTTAAAAAAAAATTGAGAGTAGAATGTCAGGTTCTGTTTGTTTTTCTACATTATTCCTTCATTTTCTATTATTTTTGTCCAAATTCAAATTTTTCTTCAACCACCAAAATACATACAATCATTGTAAATGGAGTATTATATTTAAAGAGTATTGTGTGTTAACTTTGATTGTGTATAACTGGTGTACTGTATTGTTAGTTTAAAAGTCTCTTGCTTGTCTTCTTTTCATTGGTCAGACTGTAAGTAAATGTGTTGCTCAAAGTAGGAAAACATTTTTTTTCCATTCATTCTTATTCATTCAAACATAATTATTTCATTTCTTGAATTTAAAAAGAGTAATTTATATTTATTTATGGTCAATCTACAAGTAGGCTTGTATATCTCTTTATGAAGTGTTCTGTTTTTAAAATTTGTTCTTAATGGATATTTTTTTTTCTGTTGCTCTATGGTAGGAGTTTCTGTTTTCAGCTATTCACTTCTAATTATTCTCTTATTCAAACAATAGATTGTAATTGACAATAGACATTTCCAATCTGACTGCATGAATAAAGATGTCTTTAATTAGATTCACAAAAGCTACATGTAAGACAACTAAATTTTTATATCTCTGTTCTCTACCTTCTAACCAACCATCTAATTCACAATTTGTGATGGTATTATCATGTTTCATATTATGAATTGTTTGATGGTCTTAAACTAATTTGTATTGTTTAAATTAAGCTAATAAAGTAACTGTACTGATAACAATTGTGGGAGGATAAAACCAGAATTATGATTTGTTGGCTTTTCTCTTTTATCTACTCAGCATTTCAATAACAGAAATACTTCTTATAGCATTACTTAAGGTCAAAATTCATTTTTGCTTTGTGGCAAATCCTATTATCAATTAAGTGTTAGGTAATGTTTGAATTGAAAGAAGGCATCATCTTTTATCCATTGATTTTCTTAGACTAATATTCTCATTGTGGCTATTATGACAATAACCAAAATGAAGACACTAGTTCAAGAAAATCAATGTATAAAAATGGATGATTCATTAAGCATTTAATAAGTACATGCATTCTATAGGGCTAACTTCAAGATATAAATCCTTTTTAATGTATTAAACCATTAATGTCCATTAACTCAAAAATGAGATAATAAAAAGTTCCTTTTTAAAAGATTTTACAAGGAGATTAGAGAATATGTGAAGAATAAATACCATGTATACTTGAGTATAGTAGTAGAGTTTCTATGATCAGTTTTTTTTTTTTTTGAGGGGGGGTGGAAATAGGAGGTCACACTATACACAGGTAAATTTCTTTTGGGGTGGGGAGTAAAATTAATGCAAAAATATTTGCAATATACATGAAGTTGGCTCATATATGGTAAATAAAAAAAGTAGTTGAATTATGTAAAACTTTAGTTATATTTAAAAATTATTCTGGAGTTGGAAATTCAGCTGATAAATTTATAAAGACAGAAAATTCTCAAGAGTGCCACTATTGAATTTTATCAATATAAATCTGCAACCTAGATTTTTTTTCCTGAAACAATTACTACTTTCTGAAGCCAACATACATGACTATAAAAATGTTAAAAACTTAAAAGAAAACAGTTAAATTCATAACTTCACATTATTGAAAATATATAACACATAAATTAATTCCAAACTAAAATAAATTTAAATATTAATTTGCATAAAAATTTCAAGAACATTTTTTACTCACTTCTCATTTATTAGACATTAAATTATGTCACTTTGTGTTCACCATAACTTACAAAGACTTTTTTGCTAACCTAATGCATATTTATGAGCATTTCTTACTTTAAAATTTTTGAAAAACTAACATTTATGCTCTTGTTTAAAAATACTTGTTATAAAATCCTTGCATTTGCATAGTCATTCAGAGGATGAAACATGTTGGCTAAAATAATTTTTCTTTTTGTCTTATATATATATATATATATATATATATATATATATATATATATATATATAAATGTGTGTGTTTAAAAGGAAAACAAAACCATTGACAGAACCAACACATAATTCCATTATCATTTTCTTGACATAATTAAATAATATCAGGTGTATTTTCATTGTGATGCTGTGAATTTCTTTCATCAAAATAAAGTGTTTTTGTTTTTTATCAAATAGGTTAATCAGGCACAATCCTATAAGTCAGTTTCACTCACCTTATAAGCAGTGGTTCATTCAAGGTGTTGAGTACTGAAGTCAAATGCTGATTAACCTTTTCCACATATGAGAATGTTTACAGGGAAAAAAAATATTGAAATAATTCCAATTGTCAGCAACAACAACGCACTTGTTCTTCCCAACCAATTCAGTTCATCTCCCAAATCTCTTGATTACATACTTACAAGTTTCTTAATCTGGTCTGTTATTGCAGCTTCTTTTACAAACTCTTTTGTTAGGAAGTGTATATAAGAGACATTTTAAAATTTGTTAGCCCTTGTTTTCTAATCTTTTGCTATTATTGAATAAAATGCATTCCTCAGCAAAATCACATTTGCCCAATTCTTTTTAAGTTAGAGATTTTAATTTTTTTTGTTTTGTTTATTTTGTTCACTCTAGTTAAAGTTCAACCTGTTACAAGAAATACAAACATTATAGCTAAATATCTAATCATCTAACCATGAATTGACAGCTGGTTACAGACACATTAAAAAATAAATGACAATAAATCAATAAAGTTGATCAGTCTTTCTCTATTTAATCATGGCCAATAAAGCTACACACTGAAGTGTGTATGTGTACACACACACACACACACAATTTGTTACTAAGTTGTTTCTATTGACTGAATAGATAAATCTTTACTTTTAAATATATGAAACATTGGGTATGTACGGTGCTTGATAAGGGTGGGGGGTGCTGCTTTGTCTCTCTAATGATATTATAGATATTGAATAATTTTTTCCCCTTCATATAATCAGTATGGTTGTAAAAAAATCTAATATGTTTAAAAAAAGATGAAACCAAAAAGTCAGTTTGAACATAATTTTTTTTTTTTCTCTTCATTTCTTCAATGTTTTTTCTTGAAGATTCACTATTGAAATGATATCAGTGTGTTCTAA